GAAGTTAGGCTTTAAAGACATTTGGAAAATCTTCAACAGCATTATTAACAAGGGTAGATCTAACATTCCATCTCTCATTCATGTGACTGATCTTATTACCTCTCCCAAGGATAAGGTAGAACTATTTGCAAAGAACTTTTCTTCTAATTCCACTCTTGAATCTTATGGACATTCTCTTCCTTCCATTCCAGTCAAACAGGTTGACCCATTGTTAGACATTCAAATCACTCCGGCTTCTGTTGCTAAAGTCATATCTCAATTAAACTCATCTACAGCTTGTGGTCCAGACAACATTCCTGTCACAGTCTTGCAGAATTGTTCTCCAGAACTTTCTTCAATTCTCTCTAAACTATTTAACAAGTGTTTGACTGAGTCTTGTTTTCCTGCTTGTTGGAAAATGGCATCTGTGGTTCCAATATTCAAAAACTCTGGAGAAAATTCTGACCCCTCCAATTATCGTCCGATCAGTCTTCTTTCTGTTATTAGCAAGGGCTTTGAGTCTTTGATCAACAAATTCCTCACATCTCATCTTGAGTCAAATAAACTACTGTCAGACAATCAATGCGGTTTTTGATCCTCTCGCTCTACGGCCGACTTGCTAACTGCTGTAACTGAAAGATTTTATCGTGCATTAGATGGAGGCGGTGAGGCTAGGGCTTTTGCTCTCGACATGTCTAAAGCTTTTGACAAAGTTTGGCATGCTGGTCTTCTCCATAAGCTTGCTTCATATGGTGTTTCTGGGAAAGTTTTTGAGATTATCAAATTATTTCTTTCTAACAGGTTTATTAAAGTCATCCTTGAAGGCCAACACTCTTCTTTATTTCCAGTAACTTCTGGGGTTCCCCAAGGTTCCATCCTGGGCCCTGTTTTGTTTTTTATCTACATAAACAATCTTCCAGACAACCTTTCATCTAAAGTATCTCTTTTTGCTGATGACTTAACTTTATACTCCTGTCTTGACAAAAAGTCCTCTCTTTTCAATCGCCTAGAACAAGCAGCTGATCTTGAATCCGATCTCACTTCAGTAATAGATTGGGGTTCACAGTGGCTTGTGAATTTCAACTCTAACAAAACCTAGTTGTTTACTGCAAACAACTACCGTAATATGGTCAACATTCCTATATTAATATGAATGGCAATCCTCTTACTGAGTCCTCCTCTTTATGTCTTCTTGGATTATCGCTTACTACTGACGTTTCATGGAAACCATATATACAATCGATTGCTAAATTAGCTTCTGCTAAGGTTGCTTCTCTTTATCGTGCTCGCCATTTCCTTACTTCTGATTCTATTCTCTACCTCTACAAATCTCTTATTCGTCTCTGTATGGAATACTGTTGTCATATTTGGGCTGGTTCTTCTAACGATTCACTTTCTCTTCTTGACAAGGTCCAAAAACGCATTGTAAAAGTTGTTGGACCTGGACTATCTGCTAAGCTTGAGCTTAGCAGATAGGACCTGGACTATCTGCTAAGCTTGAGCTTAGCAGATAGGACCTGGACTATCTGCTAAGCTTGAGCTTAGCAGATAGTCCAGGTCCAACAACTTAAGTTGCATCTCTTTCTCTTTTCTACAAATACTATCATGGTCACTGCTCAAAGGAGTTATCATCTCTAGGTCCATCAACTAAAATTCATTCTCGTTTTACTCATAATTCAGCTAAGTCTCATTCGTTTACTGTATCTGTCCTTGCATGCTCTAAAAATTTTATTCATCTAGTTTTTTTCCCCACATTTTGGAACTTTCTCCCATCTTCATGTTATCCTGACTCATACAACCTTCAACTTTTCAAGTCTTCTGTAAACCGTTTCCTTGCTCTATAGCTCTGTTTTTTTTTTCCTAGTAATTTCCAACTTAATAGTGGTTGCTTGCAGCCTTGTTGTGAGTGAATGCAAATAAAAAATATATATATATATCTTAGCTTACTTAGCCTTGCATTTAATGTCAATGCAGACATAATAAATAAAATTGTTTTATAAGCCCTACGTAGTTATGATTTGGGATAGCAATCCCGGGATCCCGAAATCCTGGGATTTTGTACAAATTGTTTATCACGAAATCTCGGGATTAGTCTCCAAAATTTCCCAGGAAAAAAAGGAAAAGTTTATAAAGTTTAAACTTATAATTGTAGTTTAGTAATTTTTTTATCGTCTTTGGTATAGTAGCTGTTTGATTGTGTAATTATTTATTCTATTTGTAATGTTTTCCTTTTAAAACTCTCTTTTTCTGTATTTTACTAAAAAAAAAAACTCAAAACATTATTGCTTGTCTGCAAAATATATATGTTTATATATACATGTTTATATATACATGTTTATATATACATGTTTATATATACATTACATATATATATATATATATATATATATATATATATATATATATATATATATATATATATATATATATATATATATATATATAAATAAATATATATATATATATATATATATATATATATATATATATATGTTTATATATATTTTATATATATATATATATATATATATATATATATATATATATATATATATATATATATATATATATATATATATATATATATATATATATATATATATATATATATATGTATATGTATATATATATATGTTTATATATACATGTTTATATATACATACATACATATATATATATATATATATATATATATATATATATATATTTATATGTTTATATATACATGTATATGTTTATATATACATGTATGTACAAAATGTATATGTTATATATACATGTTTATATATATATACATACATATATATATATATATATATATATATATATATATATATATATATATATATATATGTTTATATATACATACATACATATATACATATATATATATATATATATATATATATATATATATATATATATATATATATATATATATATATATATATATATATATATATATATACTTACATATATATTTAAAATTAAAACTATATAATAAAATAAAATTAATGTATAACTTTTATTAAAAACACTTGCTCTTTCCACCAGCAAGCGCTTATATTTTTATTTTATTTTTTAATATACTAGTTTTGATATTATACTATATATAATTTATATTATAATATTAAAACTAGTATGTTATAAAAATAAATAAAATTTAATCGCTTGCTGGTAAAAAGAGCAAGAGTTTTTACTAGAAGGTATATATTAATTTAAATTTGAGTTTTCTGCTTCCAAAAGTTTGCACAATTTTAATTCCATTTTTATATCCATTCATTTTAATTTTCAAATGTGATTTCAATTAATTTTCATAAATGTAATTTATGAAAATGCGTGATTTATGAAAGTTTTTTTTTATGTCATGCATATTTATATTATTTATTAATTTTTATTATTATTTATACTGTGTATACCATTTTAAGGTATTGTTTTATAGTTTATAATACTAATTTTTAAAATAACAATTTCCATAGTAAAATAGTAAAATCCATATTTTTATCAAAGTATTGACTTTTACCAAATGATGCGCTTTGTTGAATTTTGAATTTTTTTTTATCTAAAAAGTTTTAATTCATTATAATAAAACATTATTAAAAAAAATACATGCGTACATACATACATACATACATACATACATACATACATACATACATACATACATACATACATACATACATACATACATACATGCATACATACATTTCAACTCCAAGAGCTTTATGCCCATTTTTTTTTTTTTAAAAAAAAATTATTTCGCAATTGAAAATTTGAAGCATCATGAAATCGTTTCTTTTCTATTAAGATAATATATGATCTATGTACATACAAATAGTAATTAAATACAATTATTAATAATTATTAATAATTATTAATAAGTTTTAATACAAAATTAAGTTAAAACATAGTTTTAGAGATTAATTAATGTATTATCATTTTTAAGTGTTTGATGAGTGCTTAAAAAGTATTCAATTGTGCTTGCGTTTTTTTTCTATTCAATCCTAGGATTTCTCGG